CCTTGGAAACCTTGTCCTCTTTCATGTCATTCTTCTTCTCTAACTTGGAAGGTCGGTCTTTGGACCTTTTCTTCCTTTCCTCTTTGTACAATCTCAGTTTTTCCTCCTTGGGAGACTTTTCCTTTGTAGACTTCTCCCTTTCTGCCTTACTGGGACGGTCTTTTTCTTCCCGGAAAGATCTGTTGATGTCTTTATTGACATCCTTGATTCTCTTTAGTGCCTTCTCATCCTTAAAGAGCCACTCTTTATCCTCTGACTTCATCTTCCCAAGTTTATCTTCTTTCTTAAAATGGTCTCTGTCATGTTTCAATACTTTTAACTTATTTTCAGAGGAAATGTCATTATCTAAGAGGATGGCCTTATCTGACTTTTGCTTGGAATCCTCATATTCGTATGTAAAGCTTTTCAATTTAAGTTCTTGGCTGACTGAACATTGTCCTTTCTCTTTGTTTTTGTGTTTATGTTTTGTTTTGTGTTTTTTGACTACTTTCCCTTCCTTGTCCAACTTGGGGACAGCTCCATCTGTACAGGGGTGGAAGGTGCTTCTCTTCTCAGGTGGCATGCTCTGCAGGCCACCCCTTTTACGGTGTTCCTGCTTCCTCCTCGTAGGCTTCAGAGATTCCACACTGGAGCCCTCAGAGGAGCAGTCAGACTCGCTGGTCAGTCCCGTCCTTGAGGAGTCTGACAAAGAGCTGACCTCAGACCAGGCTGGGGAAGAAATGGCTTTCCAATTGTCAGTGCGCCAGTGCTTAGTGTGCTGGTCCGTGTGGCCTGAGCTGTGTTTCTGGGCCACAGCACTACCATGAGACGAGGTGGAGGAGGCAGACAGTGAGCTGAACAGGGAAGGGTCCTTCAGCACCAGCGGGGACCCCTTGAGGCAGCTTGAGCTCCCCACAGAGTCCCCATCATCCTCATCACTCTCTGAGGACTCACTTTCTGACCCGGAGGAACAGAATTTGTCATTCCTCTTTCCAAACCGAACCTCTTTGCCTTTTGTTTCTTTCTTTCGTTTCTTTTTCAATTTATTTTTTTCTTTCTGCTGCCTAGAACTAGAAGACTCTCTAGCCTTACTACTAGGTAGCATTGTGTGTGCCGACAACCTCAGTTTCTCTCCAGCCCCCATGGCAACACTCACATCCTCTTCATCTGAAGTATCTGACAAGATGCGATGGGCTGCCTTCTTTGGTGCAAGTGTGTTGTTTTTTGAGTAACTCTTAACTTCCATTTTGGGTATTGAAATGAAACTGTTTGATTTAGTTTCTTTCCTATAGTCTTTCTTCAGCAAGTGCTTGTCATCCACTGGAGGAACCCTGTCCTGCTCATCATCCTCGTCAAACTCATACTCATCCTTGACAGGGGTCACAGTTTTTTGGGGCTCTGGATTCTTAGCCTTAAGCTTGAGGCCTTTCTCAAACTCAGAGTCTGTGTTATTGCCATCAACAGAGCTGGAAGGTGCAAATGATGGGGCGTCCTCCTCTTCAGAGCTTTCTGTTGGGAACAGGAAGGGAGTTATCAGGCAGGTCAGAATCGTTTTAATAGCATCAGTTAAGAGTGCTCTCCAGCTGTGGAGGAACAGGCCTTCCAAGTGCATGGCCACCCAGAAGGGGAGGCTGGTTGGCTTTGCTTCTAAAGAAGCACTTTACTTTAGTCACATCTGAGGCCAACCATTGGCAGAAGGAACCCACAGTGTTTTGTGAGAGACAAGGCTGGCATCTCAGCAGACAGAGTGCAGGCATCTTGGCAGTGAGGCACCCTGGCAGAACTCCTGTATCTGGAAGTTCCTGAAGGCGCCAGCCACCTGAGGAGGCTTGTAGACCCTGTGTGAAAATCTGCAGGGAAATACCATAGGTAGACACTGCAGGGTGCTCTCCCATCAGGGAGTCCAGAGCCTCGCCCACCCACTCACGTGTTCTGTCTGCCTGGCTTACCAGTGGAGCTCTCCTCACTGGAAGTGTATGTGCCTTTGCCTAACAGGAGATTCACCATCGTTGGGGAATTGGCTACTTTCAACGGTGTCTCGCCTTTCCTGTTGCTTTGCTGAGGGTTTCCGCCATATCGTAACAACAACTTCACCACCTACAAAACATTAATAATGGTATTAGCAGACTATTTGAAAAGTAGTTACTCTGCCATGCCTGTAGAAAACTATAGGCCACTCTACACCCTGTTGTGGGGGTACTGTGTGCAGAGCCATTGTGGCAAGGTCTCTAGGTGCCCAGCAAGCCTGTCCTCTTTTTGTGAGAGATTGCACAGGGTTCCCCATTCAAAAGCGGTTCACTTCCTCCATGTTTTCTCCATCTCTCTTCCTTGATGTGCTACCTCTTCCCCAAAATCTTCTTACACAGCTCCCTTCCCACCAAGAGAGAGCTGGTCAGCAGTGCAGGTCCGAAGGGTAGGTACATAGGGGACGTTATCTTAGGAGGACTGGGGTGTGGAAAATAGAGGAAACAAAGACCACATTTCTGTAAGCTGGTTTATTTATTTTCATTTACATTAGAAAATAAGATAACTCCTCCTTGCTTGATTTTACATGCATAAAGATGGTTACATGGGTGACAGAAACATTCAAGGTGACATTTCAACAGCTCTATTCAACCATTTATAATCAGCAATCTGTGTTTCATATGCCTGACAGAAACTCACTCAACTCCAGCGCAAACATCCAGTTTCCATCTACCCTCAACTTTAGTTCAGGCTTTAATACATACTCTTGTCACTCACAGTGTTTCCACTTCAAGAATAATGTTTTGCATTGGATCATCAGCATGGAGAGTTTTTAGTGCATGTAAGTTTTCTACTGCTGCTGTAACAAATCACCACAACCAGTCTTACAGCCTGAAGCAATCAGTTTCACTTGCTTACATCAAGGTACAGATAAAGCTGGCTCCTTCCTTCATTGTGTAGGTTGTCAGAATTTAGTTCCTGTGGTGTTGGGACCAAGGATCTACTTCTCTGCTGTTAGAAGTCAGTACCCACCTGCGCCTTTCCCCTAAGGCCAGCAACGCAGGCCATATTCCTACAAGGTCTGTTATCTTTATGTCTCTTCCATCTCCTTGGTCAAGCTAGGAAGAGAGGTTTTCAAAAGCTGCCTTTTGGACCACCCTGTATGTTCTCTTCTAAGAGGTTCTGCTCACCTCAACTGTGTTACTACAGTTAAAACTCCTGCATATACAGAGACTTAGATAATGGCCCTTGCCCTCAAGTTTTATCACCTGCAAGCTCACAGCGACCTGTACTCAAACTGCCCACCTTTCAGGGTATTCTTTTACAAGTCTTAGGCATTGGATAAACTTTTCCAGTACATTTTTCTAAAAGGGCTCCTAAAAACCAGCAAACAAATACACCACCATGCCATTATCTCACCTAAAAACTTAGTAGGCCCTAAAATCATATATACATTCCCCCCTCCTGGCTGTCTCACTAATCTTTTCATTCAAAAGACCCAACCCACAAAGATTTACTGTGTACCACTGAGTTCTTGGAGGATCCGGATCTATAGGTTCCTGGTATTTCTCAAAATAGCTGGGCAAGGGATGCTTTTTAGCACTCTTAACCCAGGCAGATGTTCTCATCCTCACCATGCTTATTATTGTCCTGCCCACTCAAAGGGAGTCTAGTAATGAAGTCACTTCTGCAACCCATTCTCTTGTAGGAAGAGGTATATATGCCCAGCACATCTTAGTGTTTCCTGCTGGAGAGATTCAGGAAACCCTGTCCTTAAGAGATGAGGTCCTGACCTACCACAGTAATCTATTTTGACTATAATCTCAAGTGTTACTCTACCTAAGACTTTGGATTGACCTTCTGGATGGAATCGGTACCAGTGGTAATAGGGACGCATACAGCTATTCAGCCAGGCCAACAGAGCCAACACTGTACATTTAATATAGTCCTATTAGTCATCAAAACTGAGAGGTTTTCTCAGTACTGACCTAGGGCAGAATGAACAGCTAGGCCTTAGGGCTGGAAAGGGGATTGGGATCAACAGGGGACAACAATGACGACAACATAAAACTCACTTCCCAGTATCAGAAAATGTGAAAACTAGCTAAGACAGAGAAACAGGAAGCTGTAGAATGGTCCAGAAGTTAAGGACAGAGCAGCCACTGGAGGGCCGCAGGGAGATGCCAACCTTGTAGTGCCCGTTGTTGGCAGCATCATGCAAAGGCGTATCATCATCCAGGCCCTTAGTGTTCACCTCTGCACCAGCGGCTAACAGCTGCTTGGCGATGTCATAATAGCCCCGGTTACACGCCTCATGCAGTGCAGTCCAGCCTAAAAACAGAAACTTAGGGTATTTGTTACATAATCCCTGGAAACTTGGCTCCTGCCTAAATTGTAGTGAATGACAACAGGGGTGTATGGGGGGGGAGGGGGGGGAGAAATGTTGTTCTTCCCTAAGGAGGAGCCCTCTAGGAAAGCAGGTTATACCCAGAGAAGGCATCACTTTTTTTTCTTGTGCTTTTCATAATGACTATCTAGCCTACTAACTCTGCAGATTTATAACTTGTCGAAGAAACTATACATGGGTAGAAAATTTGTGCAGCATTGCCTGCCACAGGACTCACTCAGGAGGCCCCTGGGCTCTGGCTGGAGGGTCTAGTGGCAGTCTTTACAGGCAGCTCCCCTTTTCCCTAAGGGAAACTCTTTTAAAATAACATGCTAAATTTGGCAGGATCAAACAATCATAAACTAGGGAGTAGAGAAATTAAGGTTCTGCACAAAGTTGATTTTGCCCAAATCCTCTCCTCACTGCCTTTTCTTTCTGAGATAATCTTTTCAAAAAATTCTTTGAGAATTTCATACTTGTATACAATGTATTCTGACCATAACCCCCAGCCCTACCCCCACCAGCTATCATTGCACCATGAGCACATAATTCTCCTACAGTGTTGCATCATGATGTAGAGCATCTCAAAAAGGCAGTCCAATACTCTAATCACAAAAACTACACAATTAACAGAGCCTTGGCCGCACATCTCAGGAGGTGCCTCCATTTATGCCCAGACCAACCTCTGTAGTAAACAGCATGAGTGTTCAATCTACAGCAGAGTGGCCACAAAGTGGAACACAGAGTGGAACAAAGCAGGTACTTTTTAAACACCAGAGCAAGACCCTCCAGGAACCTGCCTTGTGGTAGACCCGTAAAAGGTAAATATTTAAAGCCCCTTTACTTGCTTAAGAATAACAAAAACAAATCAAAATCTCAAAATACTGAAATAAGCAAATCACACTGTGTGGACATGAGGTCAACCACAGAAACCAACCATACTCCACAAAAACACTTCCTTCCCATGTTCTGGGACCAAGGGCAGGAGGCTCACCCTCCAGAAGCAAGTTGCCCAAGGGCAGCAAGGACTTACCTGCAAAGTCCTTGACATTGACATCTGCGCCCTCGCTGATGAGCTCCTTGATGCGCCGGGCATCACCCCGGATGGCTGCTCGGTGCAGACGTGTCTCTCCTCGTTCATTTCTCTTGTTTACCTTATCTTTGGTTTTTGAGGCAGAGTTGGGGGTCCCCTTCTGACACACTGTAGACTGGGAGGGGTGCTTTGGTGTTGTGTCTACTGCAGGCCAAGGAGGAAACAAGTAGAGCATTACAGAAGGCAGCTTTGTTTCATGGGAACCTCAAGAACCCAACCATTTTCATGAGGGGAAAGGGATCCACACAGGACCCACTGCCAAGTACAGCTATTCCCTCCCTGTCCAAAAAACCACTCAGGTTCCTGGGGCTCACCTGGGCTATTTGCAGACTCCTCAGCAGTCATCTGCATGAGCAGAGCCACCTGTTGACGCTCAGAGAGAGGGTATCCAGCTCGGATCCCAGACAGCCCCATGCCGAACAGTAGCCCGGACTTCCGGGCAACAGGCTCCTTCTTGATCCTCTTCCGCTCGGGACCCTGCTTCTCTGTGTGGCAGGTGAAGGAGAAAGGGAGGGGAGACTTCATGCCCAATCCTCAGAGCTGGATTTTTAACTAATGTTACAGAGCCCCTTCATTCCACCCGATAGCTTACGGAGCAACAAGGAAAGTCTATGAGGGGAAGTGTCAGTGCTGGGAGCACTGACATCACCCCACTCTGAGCAGTAGCTGTGAGAGACACAGTATAAATGCCCTGTTGTCAGCCCATCAGATCTAAGTCTCAGTCTCCACCAACCATTTGCTCCCTGCAGGCGCCACACACGAAGGCAGTAGGATGGTTCAACACCACTGGCCTGGCCCACATGGGACAGGTCTCTATTATTAACACGTGTCTGTAATTAAACTCCTTCCCAGCCCTCCTCCAAACAAACAGTGCAGATATAAAATGTCAGACACAGTTTAATATATGTAAATAAATCAAGGCCAACTTGTCAGTACTGTACCTTTCTTCTTGCTTCTAGGAACCTCCATTTCATGCCATGGTGCTTCGAGGACCGTACCAGCCTTGCAGTACCACAACATGGACTGAGCTGGAGGCATCTAAAGGCATCAACACAGAGCACTAACAAGAACGATGTAACAGCTCAGCTGTTCCATCTTAACCGCCTCCTAACAAGCAGGTCCTGGGTGCCTCTGACAGGTGACAAAATGCCCTGCCAACTCTACTGGAAAGACTGTGCTGCTGCTCTTAAAAGAGGTGGGATGTGGAGAAAACACTCCAAAGTCCATGGTTTGGGAACACAAAGACTCTCACTTTGCTTTTTGCCTAGCAGTAAGTACCTCTCTTGCTGTGGAGATCAGGGGTAAGCCCCTGAGCAGGGCTAAGACGGGTTCAGGGTTCCCCAGGTCACAGGGTACATAGCCTGGATTTGCCAAAGTCTGGCAAGGGAAAATGCCGATGAGGCTCTTACTGGCAATAGTTTTCTCCCCTTCCTATCCAGAAAACCCTTTGCAGGGATAAACTAGCTTCTGAAACCAATGCCTGACTCTAGAGGTAGGTGACATCTTTAAGAAAGTGGCTTCAGTAGATAACATGACTACCTGTCACTGAAGACTCACTCTGGTCTTCAGCTGGTTTTGTCTGGCTTCATCAGCACTTTCCCTCTGTTTAGGTTAGTGTCCTCAGGCCCCCAAACCATCCTACCACTTTTCTACTGAGTTTTCTGACAAACTGTTAGTTCTTTACAAGTATTTCAGACTGCCTTCTTAAAAACTAAACTTGTGGCTTGCTGACTTAGAAGATTTTTAATGTGACAAGCCTGTAGGCAGCAACATTTGCCAGTTTAACAACTCATGGCAAAACTCCCCTAAATACTTCAAGCCACCACTAGCTAGTTTTGAACAAGCCATGATGTACAACATGAGAAAGGAACAACAACAAAACATTAAGAATATGGCTAGAACAAAATGTCAGAAAACCATGCCACTCTCATAGTATACAGAGTATGACATACTCCCAGTGGTGGGTGACACCTGCTAATTACATTAACAACTCCAAGTGGTCAGCTCTGCTTTTGTGCAGTATATGGTTGATATACTGCGGGTTCATGTGTCTTCAGATCATAAAGCATACTTTTCTGTTTTGTTTAAGTTTGGCACTATACTGAGTCTCAAATAAGACTCCCAACCCTGTCAACTAAGTTACAGGTGGTATTTTGTTTAAAATGGTCTCATAGCCCCAGGCTGGCCTCAAACACCTCATCTTCCTGCCTCCACCCCCACAAGGGCTGGAATTATAGGCATGCACAGACATACCTATACATCTTGTTTTGTTTGAGATAGGGTCTTACTACATAGCCTAACTGGCCCTGAACTCACTATGTAGACCAAACTCAAGAGATCAGCCTGCCTCCCTACCTTCTGGAATTAAAAGTGTTTGCTACCATGCCTGGCCACATACCTGTTATTTTAAAGATAACAAAGGAACCTAGTAAAAAAAAGTACCAGGCTAGCAGTCTGAGGCACATGTACTCTAGCAGGTCATTCAAAAGCTCAGGCTGGGAGCCCAGAACAGCTGCTGCCAACCAGGGGACACATAGGCTGGGAGGGGTATCGGGTCTGGGCTTTTAAGACAGCAGCTGTCCCTCTCTGCAGCTCAGTGACCACTGGCTCTCACTGAGCCAAGAAGCATTTCCCCGCTCTTAAAGATGCTCAGGGACATGCAGCAGCACCACTAAAACACTGCTCTGCTTCCCTCCCCCTGAAGAATTTGGTCCTTGAGCATAGCAACTTCTCACGCAGCCAAACATCTTAGAACTTCATCACTTACTTGTCCAAATGGGAGTGGGGGTGGGGATGGTTCTGAAATGTGCTTTCCTCAAAGTCTGAACCTCTTCATTGTAAAGGTAGCTTTTGCTAAGCACATGCAACAACGGGGTACCCACAACTGTCCACTCCCAGCTTCAAAGGCCTATCAGACTTCTGGGGTAAAAGATGGACACCAAAGAAGTCCCTGGAAGGACACTGAAAGTTCTGTCATATGCCAAGATTCAGAATACACTGAATGTGTCAAAAAATGGCTGAGCTACCCAACATGGACACAACACAGGCTGTGTTGCAGATGCTCCTGGAGCAGGATATGCTACCTGCACCCACCACCACCACCACCAGGTGCTGAACAGTCTGGCAGTCTGTAGGGCCTGCCTAAGCTGTGGGCTCAAGTGACCCAGCTCCGCACCCATTGTCACAGTTGTATCCTGTCTGTTGGAAGGATATGGGGCAGGAAGCAGGAGAAACTATTAGTTCCTACAGACAACCAGAGTTCCTCTGGCCATTTTATACTGATTTCCATTTCTATTATTCAAATGGAAGCAAAGTAGACTTCGTAAGAATTCCAAATGGTATCTGCTAAATTGCTAAAGTAGAATACTGACAGATATCCAAGGCGAAATTCAGTCTATGACATGGTTGAATGAGTGGCAGGTAGGATCACAAGTTTATCTGAGCCTACAGAAGGGCAGCAGGGGAGGGCTGTCCAAGGGATCCAAGAGCCCCCTTTAAAACAGTGCTCCTTAGGCTTTGCTTTGAGTAGAGCCCAAGGGCAGAGGGTCTGAGAAAATAGAGAATGGGAGAGGGATGGACCCACAGACCCTGCCAACACCCAAGGAGAGCCCTCAGCTATGGCAGTTCTCTTAGGCAGACACGAGCCTGGATGGTTCTACTTCTCACCTATATTCAACAAAAAATGTGATAGTGCTCTGCTTTTTTTAAAAGATAGTGCAGTGCCTTTCTTAGCACCCACATGCCTCATGTCAGATCTTGAGGTAACAAAGTTGTGTTTTATCACTCAGATGGAATACACAAGACACCAATAAGCATTTCCTAGCTTGTGGTTGTATCACCCACTGACCCTTTCTCCTTCCCATCACCTGGCTCTGCTGGTGTGGCTTTCAGGAAGATTGGACAAATGCATTGGCAGCCTGCTCTGACTGACTCCTCCTTGCCATTACATCTATCAGAGGAAAGGCCTTCTAGATGCACAGTGGTTTTCGGCAGCAAGGACAGAGTGCACTTTCCCAAGAACAGATTCCTTAAATGAAGGGGCAACACATCCAGCTCCTGGCTGCTGGGGTGGTAGAGGCCTATGACTCTATCAGTGCTGTTCAACAGTGTCTTCTCGGCTCACTGACTGGATACATCCTCACGAACCTACAACAAATGCTCCTATCTATACTTACTCTTTCCTTGCTTATGATTCTCCTTCACTCTCCTTTAGAGTCAGCTCTCCTGTGCCTGCCTCCTCTCCCTTACAACTCTAACCAGATTCATTAATCCTTACTCTTATCTCTCCTTTCAATCTATGAAATTTCTTCAGCTACAATTAATTCACTGGTTATTCTGTGGGTGTTTGTATATGTAGGTGTAGAGGTCAACCTTGGCCATCTTTTCACAGAGGTTTGCCAAGTAGGCTAGGCTGGCTGGCCAGTGAGTTCCAGATATTTACATGTTTATACCTTTCCAGATCTGGGATTACAAACACATGTCACCAAGCTTTTGTACATTCTCAATTTTGTACATAAGTGTTTTACTCCCACTGATTCTTTTTTTAAAATGTTATATCTAATAAACTATATAGTGTGGCCATTGAATTTTTAATTTTAGTGATAACTTTCATTTCCAGATGAAATTTGATAGTTTTTTATTTCTTCCTACTGATCTTAATTTTTTTCTTCTATTACATTCTACTGGTTTTTATTTTGTCTATTCCAGGGTGTTATTCTAAAGCCAGCCCTTGCAGAGCTTTTTGAAAAAGCTTTCTTCTCTGTTGTCTGTAATTCTACCAGGGAGTTCTGGCATCCAGGAATCTCGGCAATGACATTAAACCTATGGTCCTGCCAGTGGGTATGGAAGCACAAGTCCAACCCTACTAGAGGAGGGGACAGGTTTCAGAGCAGAAGCCAACTAATCCTCTTTAGAATATACCAACAGAGTCTGGGATCTTTAAATGGAGACTGCGTTCCTTGTAGACAAAGGTGATCTAAAGACTTTGCCATTTAATGGGAACAAGCATTCTGTGGTGTCTGAGGACTGGCTTCAGGGAAGAGGTCCAATTCTGGGGCCTAGAACTCTACTAAGGTATTGTACTTAAAAGTTCATTTCACAGTGTGGGGGGTCTGCTGCAGGCCACAGGAATATATCATAAGAACTCAGCTGGTTATGGCATTTCTAATTCTAGGCTTTTGCAATGAGAACACTTTTTAGGGTATAGACTATTATCTCATTACTGAAATTGTAACTGTTATTTGCCACTTCAGAATCTAGATGCCAGTATAGTCTTAAACTCTACAGAAACAACCTCCATGGTAATATTTTGAAACAGCAGTAAAGGCCTTGCAGGTACCAATGAAACTCCATGGAATAGTTTCCCACCACTCCTAGATATAGGTAAGGTATAGCGAACACCGACACTCTTAAAAACGCCTTAGTTTTTACATGTCAAAAAACAAACAAACAAACAACAACAACAACAACAAAAAAAAAAACCCACAAAAACAAACCATGCCTCTCTGACCAAATATTTGACCTGGTCTTGGAATCTAGAGTAATTAAGTATAGTGTTTACGGCCACAAAGTCCCAACTGTGGACAAGACACACACTAGGTCATAAGTTGCAAAAAGGACCTCCATCTAACTTATCTAAGCCCTGAGCTACAATTCTAGCATAGTGGGTAGAGGATTAGGAGTACTGGTCTCACAGCCAACCTGCAGCACAGCCTCATCAAGTCATGGTGGTAATCGCTAACTGTACTCCTGACTTACTGATACATTTTTTTTTTTTCATTTTTGTGAGGGTTACAATTAATCATTTAAAAATAAAAAGAGGAAAAAGAAAAAAAAGAAAACCTGTGCTGTGATAAGTGACCTCTCTCACCTATGTGCTGTGACACCTCTATCCCCCAGTAGACTCTTCTAGTTCTTGTTCCTCCTTCTGAGAAATGGACTAGCCATCTGTAGTGTGGTAGTAAGGTCAGACACAAGTGAGACCATGTCTTCGCTTCTAAGACCTCTGCAGATTGCTTTCCCAAGTTCTAAACTGAGAGTTACACTGGCCCTCACTGCATTATTCTCCCTGAATCACCAATGGCCTGCAGGATGAATGCTTGCTGTTGCATAGGTCAATAGCAGAACATGAGGAGTGAGACTAGCATAAAGATCCACAATAAACAAGCAGGACAATTTCACAACCTGCCACTTACTCTCACTACAGAACACACGCTGAAGATTAAAAGATAAATAAAATGACAAGTCCAGACATTGACTAAGGCCTGAACAACATCTATCAATCCTGCCTGGATGGACCCCAGACATTGGCAGTTGCTGCCAGTAGGAAAGGCAAAGCAGCAAAGGCAAGGCTCAAAGTCTCACAGTGTATATAGCCAGGACTAAACTGCCTGGCTCTTGCACTTGCCTGGCATTTCTCCTTTTATCTACCCTAGCTGTGTTCTAATTCCAAATACCTTTTACCTTGGCTTATTTTGCTGTCTCATTGCTATAAATGCTAAACAAAAGCCCTAAGCCTTGGTATCAAGTAGGTGCATTACGTAATGGGTTTGCCCACCAGAACTACTGCCTTTGAATTTTAGAAAATACAGAATTTGAACCAGAAAGAACTTTCTTTGCTAGTGTATGATCTCCTTTTGTTGAAGAAAAAATGGCTTAGGTCTGGACAGGAAAAATGGTTGAGAAACACACCAGACCAACCACAGACTTCTCAATTATGTGAACTATTTTATTTGGATCTGTTTCTTCACCAGTAGTCACATGTGGTTCTTGGGCTAATATCATGGAGTGCTGGGTGGAGGCTGCTGGTCTATAGGTCATGGTAAGCCAGAAATCACCTTGTTCTCACAGCATTTTCTCTTCAACGC